CCAAAACTATTTTCAAAAATAAACTCTCGATTTTATCGAGCCATTTTCAACCTTGTAAGTCGAACGCCTTGCGCGTTCGCCATCGACCTTGTTCTCATCACTTCAAATATTTTTACAAACAATAAAAAAAACCTTGATCCAACATCAAGTGGCATTTTTCTCATAAAAATCCAAAATACAATAAATATATGATTGCGGTTATATACCATGGACTTTAAGGTGGTGGAGAAGGAATGAGAATGGAACCCTCCTACACTCTTTCCGAATATTTTGAATACAAGGCGCTCGACTTGGTTATTCAGAACATTCATCTCTATCCAAAGTCTTTAGTGTGATCTTAATAAAAAATAGTCTCTTCTCAAAAACCTAAAAATAACATCAACTCATCAAACTTCTTTTTGCCTTAGGGCATCAATCCGAAAACCCTTTTTCAAGGTATAAAATCAACCAACAAACAACCATTTCACAAGCCTCCGAACTACGAAGCTCTGATTCTTCACTTCTTTTAAGTGAGGATACGTAGGCACAAGGGCCAAAATCCTTGGCAAGCATTAAAATAAAAATCAACCCCCTCTTTTCCCTTAAGCAAACACGCTTTTAATAATAAAAACACCCATTCACGCTAAACAACCTAGAAGGTTCCCATCGAGTACGATGGATGCGAGGGGGTGTTAATATCTTCCTCTCACATAACCGACTCTTGAACCCTAAGACTTGGTTGCAATGACCATGCTTTTTCCTAAAGCTTTTATCGCTATTTCCCTTTCCCTCCTTAGGATAAATAAAATCCGGTGGCGACTCTGTGTCATTTTTCGCGTAGCGACACATATAAGGTGCATTAAGAAGTTCTCTAATATAAAAGCAACATGATCGACATACCCTATCATTAAGGTAGGATTAGAGAGCCCTAAAAGGGACCCATAATCTATAGGAACATCACGATCATCACTTGTATCAGCCTGCTCAGGCACCTGTGTATTAGCCTAATCAAACATTTCCTCATGAGCCTTTGGATCAACATAATCAATTACGAAAACATATGGCTCATCATCATGATCTTTAGACCGACCAACTCTACCTCTTATATACTGGAGAGTACATGGTTCACGAGACTACTCAATCCGCATGCAAATTATTGTCTCCATAATCTTCGTCAAAGCTCTTTGCAATATGTCTCTCACTTAATTTAGGTACCACTTTACCATATCTTCATTTTACCCTAACTAAACACTCACACAAAAATTAAAAACAAATTAACCTACCGAATTTTTAAAAAATTCGACCACAACCTTGTAACATACCTCATTTTTTTAAAAATTTGGTATCAACATTTTTTTCCTACCAAAAATTTAGAAATATTTGATATCCATTATACTATACTTTTTTTTATAGGAAATTATGAAAAAATGAGTAAAAACTCTAGTTAACACCAAATTTTATAAAAAAATACGATAAAAATGCATCAAAAATATTTGTATATATCGAATATTACTAAATAATTTGGTAAAATCTCATATATTTAATACTAACATTTCACCAAGTAAGAACGTCTTGTCTTGATAAGATCACAAAGCAAACTCTGACCCATTAACAAGTATCAATATAACAAATAAAAGTTTTGGGTGATGGGAGTTCGTGCGAAGCGAGGACGGGGGCAGACACATTTGGTGGCACCGTCGTCGGTGACTAGGTTGTTGTTGTTAGAGGAGATGACAATGGAAATCCCTGCCGTCAAAACGGTAGATGAGAATCAAGAGATTTGGATGAAACATAAGGTTTAGAGGATGCAGAAGACGAGATTAGGGTGAAAATTTATGAAAAAGAGGAGGAAACCCTAGGATTGAAAGTAACGATTGGAACGAAGAAAACAGAGAAAAAGAACGAGTCAGAGAATTGAAAGTTGTGGGTGGATGTACTAAGTGAGAATTGCAACCCTTCAAAAGGTCTAACAATGCAATATGTAGCTCCAAGCGTCATTAATGGTGAACTGGAAATAGAAATTGAAGAAGACGGTATTTCATCAGAGGTGAAGTTTTGGGAAACAACATTGATTATGTATGTGTTGGGGGAGGATTTCAGTATAAACACAGTAAAAAATTTCATGTTGAAGATGTGGAATTTTGTTAAGCTACCAAACATGTTCTACCATGATGAAGGGTATTTCATCCTCCGATTTAACTCTCATGCGAATATGGATGCAGTTCTAATGTGAGGACCTTACTCAATAAGGAATGTGCAATTGTAGTTGAAGGAATTGAGACCTGATTTCAACATCAAAAAGGATATGTTGCATACACTTCCACTATGGGTGAAGCTTCAACAACTTCCCTTCCATCTATGAGGAGCTAAGAGTTTGAGCAAAATAGGGAGTGTAATTGGTATTCCTCTAGTTACAAATGAGTGTACAACCAATAAATTATGTGTTTCTCATGCGCGGATCTTGGTGGAGGTGGACATCACCAAGGAAATGACAAAGGAAATCATGATTAAGGACATGAAAGTAAGAAAACTGGCTCAAGTGGTTGAATACGAGTGGAAACCTCTATTTTGTGAGAGATGTCAGAGGGTGGGACATCAACGTAAGTTGAATGGAGGCATTAAGGAGAAATAGTGGAAACCTAAACCTAAGCCACCAGACACCAACAAAGAAACTGCCGTTGAAGTTGCCACTCCAAAGCAGCATGAGATTGATGCATCAAAGGAGAACTAATTCCAACAGGTGAATTAAGAAAAGGAGAATCAATGGACAAGGGTGACAAAAGCTACAAGAGACAAAGGTAAGAGAATCAACAATGAAGGCTAAACTTCAAATGTGAATTGTAACAATGGTTTCGAGGCATTAGGGGGTTCGAATGACCCTCTAGTGGCCTTTGATAGGGGACCATGTTAGTATCTTGGAATTTGAGGGGGTTGAATAAATCAGGTAAACTAAAGGAGATTAGTTCCCGTCTCCATAAACTATTACCTGATATTTTGATTCTAGTTGAGAGTGAAGAGCACAAAAGCTAAGAATGTTAGAGATAAGATCAACCTATTTGATAACTATATTGATAACTATCAATATCATGACAATGGTAGAATCTGGATTTCATGGAATGAAAAGAAAGTGAATGTTCAACAAATTTGCAGTTCTGATCAATATATTCATTGTGGCATTTTTGATAACCTAGGAGTGTTTCAATACTGGATGACTGCTGTTTATGCTAAAAACCAATTGGATATGAGGAAAAGGCTTTGGAGAGATATTGTGAAGCTAAATAGTAGTCAGTAGGACCCTTGGTGTATCTTAGGGGATTTTAATAATGTGGCAAGTGCTCATGATAGAATTGGTGGTAGAATGGTGATTGAGTTAGAATTTTCTGATTTACAAGATATGATGAATGAGACTGGGTAAAGTGAAATGGATAGCATATGTGATTACTTCACCTGGAGTAACAAACATACTAAGGGTATCATATACTCAAGAATAAATAGAGTGCTTAGGAATGTTATTTGGTTCCAAGATAACATAGATAAGCATTTGAAGATTCTTCCCCCTAGTGTGTCTGATCATGCCCTCCTTAATGTAGAAGGTATGCTACAGGTCAAGGACAAGAGTAAAAGATTTAAATTTTACAATTGCATTGTGAATATGGTGGGCTTTGAGGATATTATGAAGGCTAGTTAGAATAAACCTATTTGTATCAAATGTTAGACAGCATGTGAGATAGCTAGATCTGAGTTACATAAAGCTCAAAAAGACCTTATTCGTAAACGGATGGATAGGGCTGCTATTGATAATGTGAAGATTTGCACTGATAAAGTTATTAAGTGGAATGAGCTGGATGAGAGTATCCTTATGCAAAGAGCAAAAGTTAATTGGTTGAGATTGAGGATGGCAACAATACTTACTACCATGCTACTATTAAAGCCAAAAATCAGAGTAAGAATATGTCTTTTCTCCAAAGGGATGACGAAGTTGTTGTCACTGATCAGCAGGGTGTTAAGCTTGAAGTCATGTATTTTTACAAGAATCTCATGGGCAAAGCTGCCCACTCTATAAAGCATATTGATATTGATGCAATGAGGAATGAGGGCCAAGTTACTAGAGCTCAAGGAGATTTCTTAATAGCTAAAGTTACTGAGGATGAGATCCTAAACACTTTGAAAGGAATAGGGGACATGAAAGCTCCTGGCATAGACGGGTATGGTGCCAAGTTTTTTAAGGCCAGCTGGTGTATCATTAGGAAGGATGTGGTGTCTACTATTGAAAAGTTCTTTGAGAACGGGAAATTTGTATAGAGCTTTTAATAGCACTATTGTTAATCTCATCCCTAAGAGAGAAAATGCCAAAACTGTGAAAGACTATAGACCAATAGCAGGGTGCACAACTTTTTACAAAATTATTTCCAAAATCCTGACTAGTAGATTGGGGAAGATCCTGCAGATTGTCATCCATAAAAGCCAAGCATCTTTTGTGCTTGGTCAGATCATTCACAATCATATTCTGCTAGCTTTTGAGTTGTTGAAAGGGTATTCTAGGAAAGGGGGCCCCTAGATGCATGATGCAATTAGACCTGCAAAAGGCCTATGATATGGTGGACTGGCATGCTTTAGAGTGTATCTGGCGTGAGATTGACCTTTCTAATAAGTTTGTTGGGTGGATAATGACTATAACCTCAACAATCAGTTATATGTTCAATATTAATGGTGATTTTTCTGATGTTTTGCAGGCTCAAAGAGGCATCAGATAAGAGGAACCCATATCCCCTATGTTGTTTGTCATAATGATGAAGTACATGAATAGAGTTATGGTCAGGATGCAGCAAAACCCTAATTTCAACCATTATAGTAAGTGTGAGAGGCTTGGTTTAACCCATTTATCTTTTATTGATGATATTTTGTTGTTTAGTAGAGGTGACCCTAAATCTGTTAAGTTGATTCTTAGAGCTTTCAAAAAAATTTCTGAGTCAACAGGTCTTAACATAAATCCTAGTAAGTGTAACATCTTTTGTGGAGGTATGGATACTAGTAGCATTCAAGAAGTGAAGAACTTGTCTGGTTTTGAAGAGGGTCTTCTTCCTTTGAAATATTTAGGAGTGCCTCTAACTTGTAAAAAGCTGAGCTTGAATCATTATTTGCCTTTGGTGGATAAGATTTTAGGCAGAATGAAGCATTGGTCTGCTAAGTTGTTGAGTATAGCAGGCAAGTTATAGTTGGTTAAGAGCATAATTGTGGCAATAGATTAGTATTGGATGAATTATTTTCCTATTCCTAAAGGAGTCATTCACAAGATAAATGCAATGTGTAGGACTTTTATTTGGTCTGGTAAGTTTGATAAGAGCAGGAAAAGCCTTGTTGCTTGGTCTAAGGTCTATAGGTCTACCATCCAAGGGGGTCTGAATATGCTTAATCTTGAGAAATGGAACAAAGTGATCCTGCTGAAATGTCTGTGGAATATTTGATAGAAGGTTGATAACTTGTGGGTAAAATGGGTGTATGTGTCGCATCGCTGCGAAAAGGGCCCGACAATGACAAAAGAGTCACCACCATTCGTTATTTATCCCAAAGAGAGGGAAAGGAAACAATCAGAGAAAACCTACAAAAAGGGAATAAGATAAGTCATCGCAACCAAATCTCGGGTTCGGGAGTCGGTTACGCAAGGGGAAGGTATTAGCACCCCTCACGTCCGTCGTACTCGACGGGATCCACACTTGTTGTCTATCTAAAAGGGTGTAAAACTATCTAAGCTACATGCTCACGAGGACAAAAGAAAAGAAAAGAGACTCGATAGAGCATCTCCGCTCTATGCCTACGTATTCCCTCGTGCAATGGAAAAGTCAGAGTCAACGTAGTTCAGAAAACTACGGGTGAAGGTGGGGAAGGTTGCTCTCCAAGACATCGCCGTCTTGTGCCTACGTATCCTCGTCTGGTACGAGAAATCAGAGCAAACGTAGTTCGGGCTAACAAGAACACCGGTTGGTTCACGTGTTTTAAACCGAGTAGGGTTAAACCTTAGTTCTAGCAGTTAGGTGTATGTAACTCGACCATTGGAGACTTAGGCGTTACCTGTTTGTGGTAGAACCAAGAGTTAACGAAACTCTCTTTATGAAAATGATTTTCCAATTAAGATCCCGAAGGATAAAAAAGATTTGATGTTTTTTTTTTGTGTTTTTTAAGACAAGAAGTGAATTGAGTTATGATTTGAAACTCATGTTGCACTAAATACTATGACTCGAGAGCGAATGCGTCGCATATCGTCCAAAGGGCATACGTTAAACACTCTAGACAGTTGAGAGGAGGCCCCCAACCATCATTCTTCAAGTACTTAAGGATCGTAGCGCATGACACAAACTATCCTTTATTAAGTGTTTTAGATTGTTAAGAGATGAGAAGATAGAGACTCAAACTAAGGGGAAATTGGACCCTAAAGTTATCATGCACAATGCTCCTAAAGTTGGGATGAAAGAGAAAAAACTACCCTAATGTTATCATGCATAGGATTGAACACCTAATGTCTCTCCTACTCCCATCCTAAACGGAGGGACTAGGAATCCTAGGGGGATCATGGCATAAAGCCAAGTAAGCACTAAATAATTCACTCACAAATGAAATGAGAAAAAAAAAAGAATTTGCAGATTCAAAATAAAATGATAAAATAGAAAATAAAATAAAATAAAAAAGGATGGAAAATAAAATAACACATTAAAATAATAAAATAAGAATTTTTTTTGGGTTTTGATAATATTTAAAACTAATTTTAAATAAATAAAATAAAAACAAGAAAAGAATAAAATGAAATAAAAAGAAATAAGGTAGCAAGTCACTAAAAAGAAGAAAGTGGCTCCCCCAAGGCTTGAACCCAAGACCTTGGGGTCATAGGCTGAAAACTAAACCAACTCCACCAATTCCACACGTGCTAATGGATGGAAAAGGAAAGAAAAATAAATCAAAACATGAAAAATAAATGGCAAAGAGCAAAAGTGCCCCCAGCAGGGGTCAAACTCAGGTTCTGAATATGGCATGGCAAGGCTTTAACCACTGGGGTGGCGATACATCCATTGTATAAAGCCACCCCTTAAATATATAACCCTCAACGCATGTGAATTCTGGGCAACAAAAGCAAGGCAAAACATCAAAATATGTTTTCGACACAACTCTCTCGAAACTCCACCAAATTAGATGAAATTTTAGTCTATCTTACTTGGAATTTCACAAGGAAAACGATGGTGTCAACCAAAGTTTCAAAAGATGCACACACAAAAAAATTTGAATGCTCACTCAATAATGAAGTTTGAAATGCAATCGCGGAGTTATAGATCAAAACAGGTGCAAACAGGTTTAGAGAAAGATGTGTGCAAGTTTCAAATATGCAATAGATCAAGCTCCAACTGAAATATGAATTAAAAGATATTATGACATGATTTTGGCACATGAGTTTCAATAATGAATGTGATTTGAACAACCAAAACAGAATGAGCAACAAACTTGGCATCACAATCCAAACACAATAACTTTCATGATAGTCACTAGTTTAAAGGAAATTTGGTTATGAGCAAAAGGTTCTTTTAAGCAGCTATGACCATGAGCTTAACACAACAATTCCAAACCTTAATGTTTCATATATCTCAAAGTAAAGCAAATTGCACAAATGAGCAAACTTAAACCAAAACAGCTCCAATAGCATAGGCTATGAACATTGACATCACAATGTCAAAAACTAAAACTTTCCAGTTGTTCTAACAGTACACAACAATCATATTGTCATGAGCTTGGGCAAACTTAAACAATATTAGGATAAAATGGCAGCATCAATGCAGCAGGAGGCTTCAAAACCATTTTCAAAGTTTGGATGCAAAACTAACATGCTTGTACTATTTTGAACTAATTCGCACATTCTAAATATGCCATAAATACAGTCTGAACACAAGGGTGCCTCAAAGAAACATTAGAACATGATACGGTAGGAGAGTTGCAAAAAAAATGCAATTTGAATTGAGAGTGAAAAACAAGAACAGTTAAAACTACAAAATGAGCAAGCACCCTTTGTACAGTTTAAAACTCAAAACAACTTCAATCAGTGAAGTTACAACTTACACATAAAGACAATGTCCACCTTATTTCAACAAAAATTCCAACAGTGCAGTACATAAAAGAACAAAATATCCACAAACTGTCCTAATGACAGCTCAAAGCAAATCCTAATGAGCTAAACAGATCCAGAAATAAGCAAAGTTAGGTGTTCATCGGTGAGAAAAAACAACCATAAAATTGTCATCCTAATAGCAAACAAATGAGCAACCCCTAAGTCACACTAAAACCAACTAAAAGCTACTCTAAAAAAGAAACTGCCCCAAAGGATCACATCAGAAATGAGGTCAACATAGTCTTAGCCCTCATGACAGTTCCAAAACAATCCTGTCTAAAAAAAGTGGGAACTGAATACAAAAACCATTCCATAAAATTCAATGACAGTGCTAAATGGTCTATGTCACACTAAACACAATAAGGCAAATTTCAAACCAACTCCAGTGTGAGTAATGAATCTAAATAGCCAGCAGTCCAAATCAAAACATGCTGGCAGCTGCTTGAATTAACACACTCAAAATGGCTCCTTCAAAACCAAAGCAATCCATCAGTTCAAGTGATTTTCTCCAAATGAAGATGTTATAACTTCATGTCATCCAGTTCTCATGATTATTAGCATAACAAGGCACCCAATGCCCTAACAGTAGCAAGGATTCACAAACAACACCTAAATCCTGGTGGTAGTCCTCACTCTAATGACAAATCTATGCCCCTCTAAAACAAATTGTTAACAAAAACTGAGACACTCAAAAGACTCCCACCTGCAGTAGGCTGATATTACAATGCCTTGGACAAACCAAACAAAGAATTAACAACCTAAATACCTGATCAAGGCCTGATGACTCCAACTTCACACATTCTGTCAGCAACCCTTACATGAGGCACTAAAACCAAAAGACAGTCTAGGTTACCAAAGGTACAGTCAAGACTAGGTTGCTCTTTGACACCTCAAATTGAATCCCAACACAGCCACAATGGTAACAAACCCTCCTTAGATGAACATCAACAACAAAACCAACTGCCTAGCAGAAACTTAAAATGGCAACAACTATGTAAACAAAAGTTTAATGTAACAACACCAATCCTCAATGCACCACAAATTTGAGGTCCAATGTTGTCAAGAACTCCAACAGGTTCATGATGATAGCCTCTAAACATTAAGGCATACCAGTAGGGGTACCAAGCTGGGTTCTATCAACCTAAACTCATCATTCTACTAAGAAAACCAACTCTTACTAATACCTAAATAGACTTGAAGCACGCCACAGTTCTATCTCCTACAAAGGGCTGACTGTCCTAACCAGTCAAAACCCTCATGACAGTCCTCCAAATCTTCACAACCAACTCAAACTTAGCAAGACAAACAGCTCAAGAACAACCAGCAATCCGGAGTTGACAAAAACTCAGGTTTCAAAAACAGTTGTGAACCCTAAAAACACTATGGATAGCAAGCACAATATATAACCTCAAGTCAACAAAATCCAAACTGTCAAGCACTCAAACACCCCTATAGTAACAGTCTCCTAACCAAAAGAGAAAGTCACAGCCTCAAGACAGCAAGACAACAAGTGTAAACAAACCAAACACAAAAATGAATACAAGACAAAGGCAACCCTAAACATGATAATGTTGAGCAACAAACAAACAACTTAACTCAATGTATATTTCTCACACAAACAGCTTACAAATCAACATAGCAATATTGTACATCCAATAACAGTAGGTTTGTCATCACAATAATAAAGTAATACTTTGACTGAAAGTTAACAAACTTCAAGAATGTAAACACAAACAGATTCAACCATGCCTTAATGATACCTATGTATATGCCATGGAAAGTTTAGGAATGCTTACCTCTTGTAGTCCTCCTTGAGCAAACTAGCAGCAAGCTATCTCTCCTTCTCACAAGATTTAAAGTTTTCCTTCCCTTTTGAAACAAACAACTTATTTTTTAGGGCAGTTTGAGAGAAAGTGTCAAAAGCTCCTCTTCTGATTTTTGCACAAAGTGGTGGCTAGGGTTTCTTCTCAACTGCTCTATTGCATAAATATGCAGTGAAAACAAGATTGGAGGGGGTTTACCATGGTGAAAGATTAATGGACAAATTTGCATTTCCATGGTATTTTTTGAATCAATGGTGGATGTAGAGATTGTACAACAGCTGCTGCTAGGGTTATGCATCAGTTGCTTTCTGGGTCTGCTAGCACAGCATGGGGAGGGGCATTGGGTTGTGGCAGATTTTGACTCATAGCTTGTTTAGGCAATTTATTTGAAAATGAGCAAAATGGCAAATTGGATGTTTGGCTGGTTTTGGCAAAGTTTGGGAGAAACAAACACAACATCCCATGCGCATGGAAGAGTTCTAGGGCTGATAAACAA